AGAGAGAGAGAGAGAGAGAGAGAGAGAGAGAGAGAGAGAGAGAGAGAGAGAGAGAGAGAGAGAGTTTTGTTCCATTTATTGTTGGGAAAATTTTCGGGAGAAGTGAAAACCCGCTCGGGAGTGCCTTTTGCCACACTACACTGCCTTTTGCCACACTACACTCTCGACCCGGCCGCGCTCAAATTCTGAAATTCTGAAAATGTCATTTGCCACATATGGACACGATCAGTGTGAAGCAGTCTGGCAGAAGACGTTTGTCCCTTGGGGCTCCACTCCCGGATCTGGGATGAAACTCGGAGGAGCGAAGGAGGTCTCTCGAAAAAAAAGCTTTGCAAGCGGTGAGTTCCGGAGTGCTCTCGGGAGGCACATTCTGACAGCTCCCGAATTCAATCTGACAGCTTGAACTGGGGAGCTCGTGTGGCGATGCTGCACTCCCGAAAATGGCCAAGTCGGGAGTAGTGTGGCGAGGCCCTATGCCGTGAGCTAGGCTCTTGGGTCTTGTAACCTTTTTCATGGACACGCGCCAGTCGGCCTCGCTCCGCTACTCAACACTCTACATGCATTTGGATGCTTATCCTGACTAGGTCCATGCATTTGGATGCTTTCCTGACTAGGTCCATTTGAAGCGCAACGTATCGGGACGATAATGAGGTCCAGATACATTACATTCATACTGTTGTCTTGTAGAGCGAGGCACACTTTTCACGTTTCGGAGTAGGTCAGCGAACCCCCCACCCCCCCGCGACTCCCTCTCCCTCCCCTGGCTTCTTGTCTGCGCTCTACCGCCCGAATAGAACCCTGGCTTCTTGTTTGCGCTCTACCTCCCGAATAGAACGCACCACCATTATATGTGTATTTGGCGCTTTTGCGGTCCGGATACAGCGACACCGACCCCACGTTCTACTCGGGGAAAGACGTCTCTTCGTCTTCGTCTTCTTCTTCCTCTCCTTCTTCTTCTTCTTTTTGGGGGGGTGGGGGGAAAGGCTAATTAATTCCAACCTTGTGTGTCGGTAAGACTATATCTTTCCACAGATGCTGCCGCGGGTCAGAAGGACGGCGGTTGCATGAGAGAGAGAGAGAGAGAGAGAGAGAGGAAACACGCGCACTCATACAGACACAGAGATGGGGAGAGGGGGAGGTGGAAGCGGGGGGGGGGGTTGCAGGAGATGGTCGGCGATGGTGACGGTTGTTGGATTGATGATGCTTTCATCGGGATGGCTTGTCGCGGAGGCTGCGCGGCCGAGGAGTCTGGTAATGGGAGAGGAGAAGGAGAGTGTGGGTGTGTCGGTGGGAAAGGAGAAAGAGGAGGAGATGTTGGGGGAGGAGCAGCGGCCTGTGCTCGACGAAGACATCGTCGCTGCTGTTAATCAACATGAGGGAGCCGGTTGGAAAGCCGGATTCAATGAGCGGCTGGAAGGCATGTCTGTGAGAGATTTCCGCACCCTGTGCGGAGCGCGCAAATCGAAGGGGACGGCCTCGCTGTTGCGCTCCCCTTCCGCCGCCTCCGCCGCCGCCGCCGCCGCCGCGGGGTCGGAGCTGCCCGCGCAGTTCGACTCCCGACAGCGATGGCCCCAGTGCTCCAGCATCTCTGACATCTTGGACCAAGGGCATTGCGGCTCTTGCTGGGCCTTCGGCGCGGTGGAGGCGCTGAGCGATCGCATGTGTATTGCCTTCAACGACACACAAGAACTTTCCGAGAACGATCTGTTGGCATGTTGTGGATTTTTCTGCGGCGATGGCTGTGAAGGCGGCTACCCGCTGCAGGCCTGGACCTACTTCATGACAGACGGCGTCGTCTCGACCAGTTGCGATCCCTACTTCGATCGGAAGGGCTGTCATCATCCCGGCTGTGAGCCGCTGTTCCCGACCCCGACCTGTGAGCGGCACTGCTCCCAGCAGGACCAATCATGGGACTCTTCAAAGAGATACGTGAGCGACGTGTACACCGTTGGCCCCGCCGTCGAGGAGATCATGTATGAGGTCTACACCAACGGCCCGGTGGAGGTGAGCTTTTCGGTCTTCCAAGATTTTGCCCACTACAAGTCTGGCGTTTATTGGCATGTCACTGGGGACTATTTAGGAGGGCACGCCGTGAAGTTGATTGGATGGGGAACGGAAGGAGGGGTAGATTATTGGTTGTGTGTTAATTCGTGGAACCGGTCGTGGGGAGATGATGGATACTTCAAAATTCGCAGAGGGACAGATGAGTGTGGAATTGAAGAGGAAGTTGTGGCTGGGACTCCTTCTCTTGTCAAGGTCGAAAATCCGCTGCCCTATCGTGCTGCTGCTGCAACCGCCGCCGCCGCCGCTGCTGCTTAGATATCAGCGACGACGAGCGCAAGGAAAAGGGGAAAAAAGGGAAAAAAAAAAAAAAAAAGATATCAGCGACGACGAGCGCAAGAAAAAGGAAAAAAAAGGGAAAAAAAAAAAAAAAAAGGAAAAGAAATGAAACGAAAAGAGTGCCGCTGCTTAAGAGGGATTAGAGGGAGGGAGCGAAGAGTTGTGTGGTCGTTTAAAAGAGAGCGAAGAAGTGAGTCGACAAGATTTTTTTTTTTTATTGTTAATTTTATGTCTTTGCGTCTCTATAGTGTGGAATCGAAAAATGTCGCCCAGCTCTTTTCTTCGTTTAGATATGTCGCACAGTGCTTGTATAATGTCGCTCTCCTGTCGCAAGGAGCCTTGCATAGTGTCGTTCAATCTCGTCAAGGTCGAAGATTGAACCATTCTATCCTGCCGTCGCACAGAGCTTTTATGCCGTCGCACAGAGCTTGTGTGCCGTCGCACAGTGCTTGTATGCCGTCGCACAGTGCTTGTATGCCGTCGCACAGTGCTTGTATGCCGTCGCACAGAGCTTTTATGCCGTCCTCAAGGTCGAAGATTGAATCATTCTATCCTGCCGTCGCACAGAGCTTGTATGCCGTCGCACAGAGCTTGTATGCCGTC